ATATACATATATATATATATATATATATTCTGTTTATTTAATTTCAGTATCTATCTATTTATCTATCTATATATACATAGATAAATTTATTGTAGCATAAGCTTTAGAGAACCCAAGCTCACTTCATCAGATGCTGTCTCTACCTCTCTATTTATAGCTGCCCATATTTGTGATGATTTTCTGCGCAATGGACAATTTTTTTATGGATTTCATTGCTGAAGTATGATGAGCTATAGCTGAAATTAAGTGAAGAAGGTGTATTAAAAATACACCGGTCTAACTTGAGTAACCTCACTCAAAAGAAGTTTCATAGTTTCATATGAAACTATGAAACTTCTTTTGAGTTAGGTTACTATTTTTACAGCTGTATAGAAAATTAACTGAACTGATGAAAAAGAGTTTGGAAAGAATAGAGATAACTGAAGCTGTTTAATTTTGAACCAATCCCTGTGAGAAAACAGTGACCTTACGGAGGCATGCATGAGGGTCAGAAATCATTCTGAGTGGGTCCTGGTAAAAGAAAGGTTTGCACTGGTCACAATGTTGTCCCATGGTATTGTGCTGACAGTCATCACAGACGCCGCCACTGATGCCATGATTAGCTAGGTACACTGCCATGTCAAAATGACATCTGTCAGAATGGCCATTGCAATCACATTCTGAAAGAGAACACAGTGGTATAATTGTAGTTATCAGTAGAATTAGAATAATGTCTCAATGCCCTGAACAGGACCAGGGCCTGAACAGGAACAATGAGTGTCTATACACATGCAGTGTGTTCCCACACCAAAAAATAGCAGCAGGGGTGCTTTAATTAAAGTTTGTTTGACAAGCTTCAGTTAAAGTGCTCCTGCTGCCATTTTTCAGTACAGGGACGATGATACACATGACACTTTGGGCACTTTAATTAGAACTCCCATTGTGCCTAGTGAGGCAAGTTAGTGGCTCTACCAGGTTCAGAGGGAATTCTCACTTGCGTTTAGTTAAGGTTTAGTTAAGGTTGTATAGTTACAATTGTGGGACTGGAGCCTAATTAAAGACAAGCTGGAATAAATAAATGTAGCAACAGCAGGGCAAAGGGACGGTAAAAACAGCCCATTCACTTGATTAGATAAGTTAGCAATTTCCAGCATGGATGGTTGTGAATAATTCTGAACTATTGTTCTGAATGAGGATGCACAATTTAAAATATAGAACAATCAATCAGCATAAGCAATCAATCCACTGACTGTTGTGACAGCAAGATACAGGAATCAAAGTACTAAAGGGAGAGTTACTCCTGATTTTATAATGTGTAATGTAATGTTGACCCCAATTACAGAGACACCATAATTGTTTCAGTCTCTCTCAAACATGTTCAGGGGCAGAGGGAAATTGAAAAAAAATCAGAAGACAGATAAAAATAGCACCTTTTTAGACAAAGTTATTTGGTTCCAGTCTCACAATTTTGGGGGTATGACTCATGATTTTGATTTTCTGAATCTGTCAGTGCTGCGTAAGCATCACTGATCACTCGTCATTCTGTTTTGAATACAGACACAAATATTTTTTCCCTGATTCACCCTGGACAGGTGCAAGGGCAACAGAGCAGAGCTATTCTATCGCATGACCTTATCTCAGGTAATTAGCCCATAAGAGCAGAACTGGGTCCTAAGTTTCCATAAGTATAAAGATTGTGCTGTAAATAACAAAGCTCCACTGAAGTCAAGCTTACAGTAATGGAAGACCTGTCCCAATTCATGCAATGCATGTTCTTTTATTTGAGATGGTTCCTGGTACTTTATTCTTTCCTTCATCTATTATAGTTTCATAGTTTCTAGGGTCAGAAGGGACCTGAGTAGATCATCTAGTCCGACCCCCTGCCATGGCAGGAAAGAGTACTGGGGTCAAATGACCCTGGCAAGGTGTTCATAATACATAAATTGTCTGATTCTGATTTCAAGCAGTTTCACCAGTGTAAACACTCATTGGAGTTATTCATTATTTTCACTGATGTAACCAATCTTAGGAACAGGCACAAAATGGGTGTCTGTCGCTGTTTTCAGAATGGGAGGGGGAAAAGGGAACAGAAGGAGTTCAGTTTGTTGCTATGGGAACCCAGCTACAGGCTCCCAGCCCACAGCTAGATTCCCCTCCCCCCTGGAACCAACAGGGAACTTCTGTTTGGTCTGGGGTAAGGGTGTAACTCAGAACGCTTTGCAGAAATTTTTCTGAGTTACAGGTGGGAGCTGCACTTCTGTCTGCACCTTAGCGATCATAGGTCAGGTGCAGAACACACTCTGGCTCTTTATGTCACTTGAGAAGCACAAAGGAGCTAAAGTGTCCTGGTGAATCTGCTCCAGAATTTCTTAGATCTTTTTTGTTCAGCACCATGGCTCTGTGAATCTGAAGACCTGTTAGAATTTTGTCAATAATTTAGTGAAAAAAAAATACCCCAGGGCTTGGACAAATGCTCACTTGAAAGAGCTTCAAAAGGAGAGGGGAGCTACAGCTTGGGAGCAGACAACAGCTGCTATGCTGCTTACCAATATTTTTATTGGTAAAAAGGGTTGTGCACTAACTGACAAATAATCCTTTTCATCATCATTGCCTTTTTCTATTCACTTTCCTTTGACTCTTTCTGGAAAATAGTAATTTGAAAGGGCTCATCTTTCCTGAGAGCCACATAAATGCTGCTTTATGTCATCAGGAGAGGTATTGGTGTAGATACAGTGCTTCCTTCACACTGTATCACTGGCATTTCAGTCTCTTTAGGATCCTCCATTATGTTGGATTTAACACTGAGAAATGAGCCCCTACAAAAGTGTTGTTCTTCTTTTAGGCAACACTCTGGAATTGTACTATGCCAGCCACCCCTTTGTTGAAAACTAAGAATAATTTTTTCAGGCACGTTTGCAAGAATTATCCTGTGATCCTTCCGCTGGCCTCCAGGGAGCATCATTGTAGAATTCTTTACACCTCTCACAGGACAAGCCATCGGTGTTGTGCTGGCAGATACATCTACCATGAACCTGCAGCATATTAGGAAAAAAACACATTTTCTTTAATTCAGTGGCTTTTTGCCATTTACAGGGAGAATGTATCCTGCCCTCCCATTCCCTACATTTTTTTCTTTCACAAAGAATAATAATATATCAGTATTTTCTTTCTGTAAGCTGAAAACCTCCACAGTGCTGGAATCAGATCAGGTTGCTTCCATCTGCATCTCAGATGGAAAACTTTTATATGTAAATTATGCAACCCTATATTCCTGGTGTTTATTTTGCCTCCAGAAAGTTACAGATTTAGACTGACTTTCCCTTCCCTAAAGATACAAACTTTAAATCTACAAATTTGTCAATAGTCTTTAGCAGAATTCCCAAATTAAATCATGCAATCCTTCCATATATTGTTTACTGCTTGCACAGTTCAGTGTACTTATATGTGCTGGGTACATTCCCCTCTAAATGCTATAAACCAACATATGCCATATAAATATGCTGTGTAAAAATATCTAAGTGACATTAGGCTCATACTATGCTAGCAAGAGCAGGAAAATTTAGAGCCCTCTGGCTCCCTCAGCTGACATGAACAATTCTCAGTTACTTGAACAAGAGGCTTGGACAATAACTAACCAATTTTAGAATAGTTGAACAAATGTTAAGCAATATATTGCTACTGACAGAAAAATGAGTCTTAGACACTTTAATATAAAGTATAACGTATCAAGGAAAAATATTATTTCCAAACATGGAAGTAGATAAAATTATGTTCCTGAATTGGTGGACAATTTATTTTTCACAAATTTTGTTCTGTCAAATGTGGACCCACAGGATTTTTCTTTTGCCAAAATCTCTTTTAAGTTGTTGGTTTCCAGGAAGCCCTATTACAGTTAGAGAACATGCTCAATAAAAGCCATTTGAGTCTGCACACAGCACAGGCTATTTATTGATTTATGTTTGCACCATTACAGGTCTGGTATTCCGTGCTACTATCAACAGGTTCTGTGACAGCTATTTTAGAAAGACTGCTTTTATGTCAAAAGTAGCCAGATACTGATCTCCTTTACAATGAAGCAGGGCTGTCCAACTGGTGGCCTGTGGGTTACATGTGGCTCATGAGGGCCAGCTCATGAAGGATACATGCAGCCTTCAAACAATCAAAAGGCAGCTTGTGGGCCCCAGTGGCCACATCTCCTGCTGTTGTGTGGTGGGAAAGGGTCTGGAGATTCACATGCTGCCAGTGTACTGGTGGGGGGCTCCCTCCCCTAGCATGCAGCCTGTGCAGTGCATGACTCCAGGGCTGTACACTAGTGTTGGGCGTGACCCCTTGCTGTGCTTAAATTGGACAGCCCTGCCCTGAATAATCTGGCTAAGTGTTTTTATCAAAGAGATAATGTTAAAATCCTTTCAATCCTTAAATTGTAAATTACCAGCTCAAGTATAGCTTTAAAAAATTGCCACATTGGGAATCTCCTTCCATAAAACTTACCATTCCAGGCTGATGGAAAACGTCTCCCCGCAGTTTCTGCACTGGACTGCACTGGCTAGCATGTCCATTGCAAAAGCAGCTTCCACGGACAACCATTTCATAAACTGCATAATAATATTTTTCAAGGGGATCACGTTGTCTTCTTCCAAGTAAAATATCTCCTAGGGTGTGGAGTTTCGTAAAATTGATTCGCAGATTTGTTAAGGTGATGAGTTCTGTGATTTGAGAAAGAAATCAAGAGCTAAAATTATCCTAAATTCTGTTCATTTGCAACTATCCAGGGTAAAATCCTCAACTGGTATAAATCATCAATGTGCCTTTTGTGCACCAGGCAAAAAATCCATCATACCAAGGGAATCTACACAGGTAAAAGAGCTTGGTAGACCTCCTGACCCAAGTCAGTAGTGTAACTAAAGGTGGACAACAGGGGCAGTGGCAAGGTATAGGGGGCGCACATGCACCCCGAGAGCGCTGGTGCACTCCTTGACTGGCTGTGCTCACTGCTTTGGTGATGGGCAGGGAGGGCAGGCGGGAGTGCCGGTGCCCCCCTGCAAGTACCAGCTGGGAAGCAGCTGCGGTGATCGGCTGTCTTGTGATCAGCCCTGGGGGGATCCCCCCTGTCGGCAAGATTGGCCGCAGGGGGACTCTCCCTGGTCGGTGGGATCGGTCATGGGGGACCATTCCCCTGCCCCCCTCAGTGAGATTGGCCCCAGTTGCTGACTGGTTGCTGGGGGGGGGGCATGTACCCCCACAAGTAAGGCGGCACCAGTCGCCCATGAACAGGGGCATGAGCCTCAGACTTAGAGAGGGCACAGGAACTTCAGCCACTGCTGGCTTGCCCACTGATGCTACTACCCAGGACACAGAATCTGGTTGTTTCACAGTGGTGGCATGTAGGGGGTGCACAGGGGTACACATAAACCCCACAAGAGCGCTGGTGCACCCCCTGACAGCAGCGTTCCCAGGTAGTGGGGGCAGATGACAGCACTGGTGCCCCTCCTGAGAGCGCCAGCCAGGGAGCATGCCAGGAGAAGTGGTCCCCCTGCGGCCAATCCTGCTGACCCAGAAGTGCCAGTGGCACACCCAGAAGTGCCAGCCACTGCCAGTTGTGGATCGGTGGGATCGGGCACAGGGATTCCTGTGTCCCTGGCCTGTGGGATTGGCCGCAGGGGACCACCCCCAGTCACTGACTCTCCGCTGGGGGTGCAAGGATGGGGGACTTAGGAGGCACCAGTTGCCAATGTTGTTTCTCTTCTGATCCTGATCCCTAAACATGTTTCAGTACAAAAATTCCATCTATCCTAATATGTACCAGCCAAAGATCTGTACCATTTAACACCTATACCAGGGATGTTGAAGATAGGGCCCACAGTTGCTGCCCCTACTGCTGCCTGTGGGTTTCAGAATTGACTCACAGGCAGCATGTGGGATGAGGCCAGAGGGCCCTGTGCTCTGCACGTGGTGCCTACTCTGGCTGCTCTGGGACTGTGCCTTGGAGCAGCTACCACATGTAGCATGTGGCCCTAGAGTGGTGGGGTGGCCACTGTGTGCAGCATAGTCCCAGAGCAGGCCAGAGTAGGACCATGTTGTACACAATGTCCTTTCTGGTTGTTCCAGGACATGGACTGGAACTAGCAAGTAGGGCCAGTCTGTGCACCCAATCCTGCCTGCAGACTGGTTCTGCACCACTCATCCAGCCTGCAGATACGTCTGACATAGAGCAAACAAAATTGACTACATGTCTGTGAGAACAACCAAATTATTCATACCTTGGATATATGGCACATAAGGGTTTTCTATTTCAAAGCTGGGATCCAAAGCTTTCAAGACAACCTGTAAAAACAAATGAATATATATATATATATACATAAGCTTGCTAAGAACTTTTTTCCAACTACACAGTTGGTCTAATAAAATATATCACATCTACTCAAAGAATCTTGGCTACACACACACACACACACACATATAT